GCAAGCAACTTCCAAAAAATTGTGAGTTGACAGAAACAGCCAGCTGCCTGGACAATCATCTGAGGTTTCTCCGCAGTGTTGGGGCATCATCTTCAGCCTTTAGGCTTAGCGTATCTGACAGACTCATTTGTGAAGTAGGATGTACACAAGGTCAACAGTTCAACCTCACATTGGGTAAGAGCAGTCCATATACCAGAAACACCTGAATTCCACTAGTGTCATGTCATGATTCAGGATTTTAAATTCTGGAAATTGTTTATGTTTTTTGAATTCAGCTGTCCATTCTTCTTGGCTATGTGTGTATGTGGCTTCATTTTAGCATCCCGCTCTTCTCCATATCCCTCTATTAAATGTCATTCTACTGTTGAGAGGTGTGAGCTTAATTACTCTTCAAAAAGAACTGTTTCAACTACCTTCCCATTGCACATCAGAAGCCATTGGCCCACTGCCTGTTAAGCTGCCTTCGAAGAAAAGGGCACTGTACCTTTCCCGGATTGCGAAGGCCACTTCAGGGATGTGTCCATATTGTCCTGGCCTCAGAATATGCCTTTTGATAAAGCCATAACCACACTTGTTTTGACAAGAATCAGTAGTCCTTTGTTTCATGTCCTGTCTATCCTGTTTGTTAGCAGTTGATTCGAGGATACTTTGTTGTCCAGTGGCTAACTTTTGCCACAATGAAAGTTAACTCCAATTGCAGTTTTTTTCAATGCCCATATTTTCTCTGAAGTAGATTGGTACTGCCAGGAGCCGACATGTCTCATAGTCATAACAGAAAAGAAAAATTTTCTAAGTTATTAAAACATTTTAGGCCGGGCGGTGGTGGCGCACGCCTTTAATCCCAGCACTCGGGAGGCAGAGCCAGGCGGATCTCTGTGAGTTCGAGGCCAGCCTGGTCTACAAAGTGAGTTCCAGGAAAGGCGCAAAACTACACAGAGAAACCCTGTCTCGAAAAACCTTAAAAAAAAAACAACAAAACATTTTAAATGCTATATTCTGTAGATCTCTGAAGGGTTTGAAGATAACCTGTCTATCTAAAATATATCTACTCAATCTTGAAAACATACCTAATATAACTACAAGTTCTATTATAATGTCTAACTACTAACTTTCATTTCTTTATATCCTAATAGTTGGTAATAACAACATTCAAGGATCAGAAAATTGCATTACATTGTTAGATGAACAGTACAATTAGAAATATACATATAACATTTTCTAACAATATCAATTTCAATATATATAATTTGTATACAATATAAAACAATCCAATCTAATGTAAAGCATTTACATTTTTCTTTTCTTTCTTTTTTTTTTTTTAATAAGAACCTTAAATCTAATCTCCTTTGCTTAGCCCTTTTCCTCACCCTTGACAACACCTTGTAACCAACCCCCCAATCAATGAAAATTATTCCAGACCCAAAACCCATTAAAAGACAAAAAAAAAACAAACAAAAAAAAAAACACCTGCCCCACACCACGTCTTTGGGAATGTGGGCGTCGTATTCTTGAAATTGCTTCCTGCTGGGTATGGGCGAAGGTATCTTTATCCTGAAAGAAAAATTTTAGGTTAATTGTCAAATTCTAGGAAAGGTAACTATATCCTTCGTTATCCAGTCTGTGTATAATGCCAAAGTTCAGGGTTTATCTCAAATCCTTATTCAAGTAGTCTTTGAGACTGGATCATCTCAGCTAGCTCTCTCAAAATTGCTCTGAGCACTTTGTAGTTCAAAGCTGATCTGTAGATGATGTTTGTCAGCTTAGTGATGTTATTATTGTCCACGTGGAATTGTTGTTATTGTGGGGCCCCATCTTCTTCCTGGAGACTTCAGTTGATGTTAGGCCTGATTGTGATTTCCTGCAAAAAACTGATAAGAGACTCGAACACAAAGACTATATATGCGGCTTTTTAGAATTAGTTAGTACTCTATATGACCATTTATATCTTAACAAAGTTTAAAATGTATATATATCTATATATATTAATCTTGTAAATTTTGATATAAAATTCATACTTTAAGAAAAGTTTAAAGAATCAGAATAGAATCAAAGAGTTGAGATTAGTAATAGAATAGTCCCTTAATTAATTTGGCTTTTCTCCTGTCCCATAGCAGAAGATGGCTCTTTTCTTTTGGCATGATACAGGGAGTTTACATTTTCCTTTTAACAACATACTTGAGTTTAAAGAAGGAGAGAGCCATTCTCCAACTCCAAAGTCAGCTTTAAATTTTAATTGAACTGGGACTATTAGAAGACCAATAGTGTTAAATCTTTAAAGAAAAGCAGAAACAAACGTTTAGGAAGACATAAAATTTTTTAGATAACATACCCATACGCCATTTCACTCTGTTTCTTAGTATAGACGATTTGTCCCTTTTCTTCAGTTGTCTCATTTGTCCAGTGTTCTTCAAATTCGTTAACCTTCATTCTCCTAAAAGACAAAAACAAAAACCTTTCCCCAAGATTTTTTGGGGATGTTCCTTTTTGGCAAGTTATTATCTGATTAAATGAAAAGGCATGTGTTACTGGTGTAAGTTAGTTTAAATTGGATGTTCATGATAGTTGATGAACTATCACCTCCTCTAATTAAGAGGTCTCTCTTGTTCAAACCGAACCTTTATCAATTTTGATGGTACCCACAGCTTATCTTCTCCTGTAGAAATAAAAGCAAAACCTCGTCCCCAATGTAACACATATCCTGGTTTCCATTCTGAGGTCACCACATCCTTAAAGTATATAGGTTGATTTAATTCTGTAGTTTTTTTCTATTATCCAATGTCTCTCTGCAGCTGTTGTTCCTTTCTCAGTGGCATTGAGAAAATTCAAAGTTAATAGAGCATTATGTAGTCTATTTCTGGGGGTTTTTGTTACTCCTTTTTGTTTATTTAGCATATCCTTTAGAGTTCTGTTTGATCTTTCTATAACTGCTTGACAGGATTATGTGGTATACCTGTAATATGGTTTATATTATAATAAGCAAAAAACTGTTTCATTTTAACAGAGACATATGATTGAGCATTATCAGTTTTGATTTGTGCAGGTATACCCATAATGACCATAACTTCTAGCAAATGAGTGATTATAGAATCAGCTTTTTCAGAACTCAAAGCAGTTGCCCATTGAAATTCTGAATAAGTATCGATAGTGTGGTGTACATATTTCAATTTTCCAAATTCTGCAAAGTGAAACACGTCCATCTGCCAGATTTCATTCCTCTGAGTACCCTTTGGGTTACATCCTGCTGGTAATGGCGTTTGATTGTAGAAGGAACAAGTAGGACATTTCTTTACTATTTCTTGGGCTTGTTGCCAGGTTATGGAAAAATCCTTTTTTAAACCTTTAGTATTTACATGATGTTTTTTATGAAATTCTGAGGCCTCCAGCACATTTCCTATCAATAATTTATCAATCTCATCATTGCCTTGTGCTAGAGGGCCTGGCAGACCAGTATGGGATCGGATGTGAGTTATATATAAAGGATGACTCCTTTTTCTGATTGTATCTTGTAATTGAATAAATAGTGAAGTTAATTCTGAAGCATCATGGATAAATTCTGCAGTCTCAATATGTAATACTACTCTTTCAGCATACTGAGAGTCAGTTACTACATTGAGAGGTTCTGAAAAATCCATTAATACCAACAGAATAGCATACAATTCTGATTTTTGAACCGAATTATAAGGACTTTGAACCACTTTACTTAAATTTTCTGATTTGTAACCTGCTTTTCCTTGTTTGTTGGCATCTGTATAAAATGTACGAACTCCAGATATGGGTTTTTTCCTCACAATTTGAGGCAAGATTCAATCAGCTCTCTTTATAAGATCAATTCTATTGCTTTTGGGATATTTGCTGTTAATTTCTCCCAAAAAATTTCTACAAGCTTTTTGCCAAGCTTCATTTTCTATCCATAATTTTTCAATGTCCTCCTTAGTTAAAGGTACGACAATTTCTGCTGGGTCTATTCCTGCTAATTGACGAAGTCTCAATTTTCCTTTCCAAATCAAGTCAGAGATTTTTTTCCATATAAGTTTTTAATTTTTTATTTGGTAAAAATATCCATTCCAATATAATATCTTCCCTTTGCATTAATATTCCTGTTGGGGAATGCCTAGAAGGTAAAATAACCAAAATGCAATCCAGCTTTGGATCAATACGATCTACGTGCCCTTCATGTACTTTCTTTTCTACCAAGGCCAATTCTTTCTCAGCTTCAGGTGATAATTGTCTTGGACTATTTAAGTCCTTGTCACCGTCTAAGGTTTTAAACAAATTATTCAGTTCATCATTTTTTACCCCAACAATAGTTCTTAGATGAGAAATATCTCCAAATAATCTTTGAAAGTCATTAAGAGTCTGTAGTCGATCTCTCCTAATTTACACCTTTTGAGGTCTAATTTTTTGAAGTTCTTTTTTATATCCTAAATAATTAATAGAATCTCCTCTTTGTATCTTTTCAGGAGCAATTTGTAATCCCCAGCAAGGCAAAATTTTCTTTACTTCTTCAAACATAGTTTCTAAAGTATCTGCATTTGAGTCAGCTAATAAAATATCATCCATATAATGATAAATTATAGATTTAGGAAATTTTTTACATACCACTTCTAATGGCTCTTTTACAAAATATTGGCACAAAGTTGGGCTATTCAACATTCCCTGTGGGAGAACCCTCCATTGAAATCTTTTAACCGGTTGAGAATTATTATAAGTAGGCACTGTGAAAGCAAATCTTTCTCTGTCTTTTTCTTGTAAGGGTATTGAAAAGAAACAGTCTTTTAAATCAATAACTTGAGAGGCCATCCTTTTGGTAACAGAGTAGGCAAAGGAATTCCAGATTGTAAAGAGCCCATTGGCTGAATTACTTTGTTAATTGCTCTAAGGTCTGTTACCATTCTCTATTTACCAGATTTCTTTTTTATTTTTTATTTTTTTTTTTTTGGTTTTTCGAGACAGGGTTTCTCTGTGTAGCTTTGCGCCTTTCCTGGGACTCACTTGGTAGTCCAGGCTGGCCTTGAACTCACAGAGATCCACCTGGCTCTGCCTCCCGAGTGCTGGGATTAAAGGCGTGCGCCACCACCGCCCCAGATTTCTTTTTAATAACAAATACAGGAGAATTCCAAGGGCTGGTTGATTCTTCAATATGATGAGCATTTAACTGTTCTTCCACCAGCTCTTGTAAAGCCTGGAGTTTCTCTGTTGTTAAAGGCCATTGCTGAACCCATACAGGCTTGTCTGTTGACCATTTTAAAGGTAGAGCTGTTGGTGTTTTTGGAAAATTATCGGTTGTTGTGCCCTGTTCTTGTATGACATGGATGGCTGGTGAGCACTCATTAGAATAATATCTTTTAATATTTCTCTCAGAAACATGTACTAATTTATGATTTGTTTCTGAGATTGGAGGGATATTAATCTGAGTATTCCATTGTTGTAACAAGTCTCGACCCCACAGGTTCATAGCTATGTTAGCCATATATGGTTTTAATTTTCCTTTCTGTCCTTCTGGACCTATACATTCAAGCCATCTTGCACTTTGTTTCACTCGAGATAATGTCCCAGTTCCTAACAGTTGTATGTTTACCTCTTGAAGAGGCCAAGTTGGATGCCAAAATTCTGGTGCAATTATGGTAATATCCGCACCTGTGTCTACCAGACCAGACAACAAAACACCATTTATCTTTATTGTTAGTTTTGGTCTTTGTTCATTAATAGAAGTTTGCCAAAAAATTTTCTTTTATGTTTTTTCCTGAATTTCCTATTTTCTCTGTTTCATCATCTCGACTAACATGATTTATTCCAATAGACATTTGGTTATTTAGTTGCTTTGAGTAGGGGTTTCCTCTACAACTGCAGGAAAGGTTTGAATTGGATTTACTGTGGGGGCCTGCCTGAGGCCCCTCTAGGAGTTTCCTGAAGCTCGAGGCAGAGGATTACCCTGTCTGTCCCTTGTTGATCTACATTCCTTGGTCCAGTGTTTTCCCTTACCACACCTTCTGCATACTCCAGAAGGAAGGGGCATTCTGTTGCCAGTGTTCCTTGAAGAAACATTATTTCTAGGAATGACCTGTTTACAGTCCTTTTTCAAATGTCCTTGCTTTCCACATCCAAAACACCTAACATTTCTCAAACCTTTTGAAATTGCTTTTCCTACCCACATATCATCATGGTCATAAGCCTAACATTAACTGTGTCTCTAATCCAATCTTCCAAAGGTGCAGATCTTGCCTTTAACGGCCTGATTATTCTTTTGCATGCTGCATTTGCATTCTCAAAGGCCAAAGATTCAATTATTATCTGACTAGCCTCTGAATTCGGGACCATTTTCTGTACTGCTGAAGTCAATCTTTGTAAGAAATCTGTGAAAGATTCTTTTGGGCCCTGTATAACCTTTGTAAATGACTCAGTTTTTTTTCCTGGTTCTTCAACTCTGTCCCATGCATTCAAAGCTGCCGTTCGACATAGAACCAGGGTTTGGACATCATATGAACATTGTGTTTGTACTGAAACATATTGGCCTTCTCCAATAAGCTGATCCTGGCAGACTTGTATTCCACTATCCCTCCATTGTTTTTCTATATTTTTAGCCTCATTATTGAACCACATTTTCCACTGGAGATTTTGTCCGGGTTCAAGAACAGCCTGTGCCAAATCCCGCCAGTCCTTTGGTAGAATCCTATTACAAGTTGACCAGGTGTTTAACATTTGCTTTACATATGGGGAGTGCATGCCATAAGATGCTATTGCCTCCTTAAATCTTCGTAAGTCTAACATTTTAACTGGAACCCAAGTATTTTGTTCATTCTCTTCATCAGGTAGCTGCTGTATGGCTACCAGATAAATTAAGGGTGATTGTGTGAAAACTGGCTTTCTTTCTGTAACCTTATGATCCAATTTTGAAACAATTTCACTATTTATTTCTTCTGTCTGAATTTGAATTTCTCTATAATTCATTTTTACCGGTTTAACAGGTTTTTCTAAGACTGTTATCCTGGCACTTAAGTTGACTATCTTTTTAAATAGTAAAATGAGGATAAGAAAAGTAATAAACTGAATAATTCGATTAATATTAATCTTTTCATATAGTTGTTCCATTGTCAGAGTGCCTAAAATTTCAAACAAAGCCCAATTTTCTTCCAATGTACACATAAAGCCCATTTTTTTTAATGTAGAAAAAAATTCTCTTTTAAATATATATGTTAATTGACTTACCAAGTCTGGGTAGAACAGTAGAATCCCAGGGAATTTCAAAACAGCCACCTGGTGTTCGAGGTGTGAATCCAGAGCGAGAGAGAGAGAAAGAAAGAAAGCGTAGCCACTTGAGCCCAGTCAAGCCTTGGCTTTACAGGCAGGAGCCCTGTTTGGCAGGGCAGGCCTGAGTTGTTTGTAGCAGTTGCAAGTAGCTCCAGCTGCGTGTCAGTCAGGCCTGGGCCCAAGCTAGGGAGCCAGGCCGCCCAGGCCGGAAACCGGACCTGCCGCCAAGCCAAACCAAGCGGTTTTTAATGGATTCTTGTCACGTTGGGCGCCAAATGTAGATGTAACCAACCGTCTTATTAAATAAGAAACACAGAGCCAATGCAAAGAAGAAAGCCAAGAGGTCAGAGCTAACAGCTAAAACCTTACCCTTCCTCCTGCGGTGGTCCTACCTCTCCGAACCAGAGCTACTTCCTATGTTAAAGTCCTTATATAGAATTTCTGTTCTGCCTTCTCATTGGTTGTAAACCCAACCACATGACTGCCTCGTCACGGCCTGTCTGTATAGGCCTCCAGGTTTTCCATGATTGGTATTAAGATTAAAGGCATGTGTATCCAATAATGGCTGTATCCCTGAACACACAGAGACTTACCCAGCTCTGCCTACCAAGTGCTGGGATTACAAGCGTATGCCACCACTGCCCTGCTTTCCTATGACTTGCTAATAGCTCTGACCCCGGGCAACTTTATTTATTAACATACAAATAACATTTTAATACAAATAAAATATCACCATAGAGTGGATGTCTGCAGACAGCTACACTTCCCCTCCCATTACCAACTCTCCAACAACTAAGTCCCTGTTTTAAATCTTGAAAAAATGATTTATTCATTATTTATGTTTACATATGAGTCTGTGGGTATCACATGTATGCAGGAGTCCACAAGGTGTCAGGTCCCCTGGAACTGGAGGTCCAGGTGGTTGTGAGCCACCTGATGTGGGTGCTGGGAACAGGGACTGTGCAAGAGCAGCAAGTACTCCAAACTTCTGAGCCATCTTCCCAATGTCTCCTGCCCCCTTTTGAGACAGGATCTCACTATGTAGATAGACCTGGCTGCTCTTGAACTTGAGGAGCTCTGCCTGCCTCTGCTTCTTGGGTACTGGGATTAAAGGCATGAACCGCCACTCCCAGGGACATTCCCCCCCTTTTTCTGTTGTTCTTTTTATTTTTTTGTATGCATATGTGTTGTGTGTGCATGTGTGTGGAGGTCATGGGTTGATGTGGATAGTCTTCCTGAACATTCCTCACCTTATATGCAGTTAGCCTGAACCCAGGCTAACTAGCCAGCTTGCTCAGGGGATCTTCTGTCTCCCTTTGTGGGCTACCATGGCCACTTGGCATTTACTTGGGTGCTGGACATCCGAACTCAGATTTATATGGTGGTCACTTTAGCCTTCCTAAGCTTCTGCTTTACAGAGGAACCTGCTTCAGAGTCCTAGTGTCAAAGCAGCAGAGGGGAGCGCTGGCTCAGACAGCATTGGATACACTCAGAGCCAGCGGGCCTTCTGTGTCTGTGTGTTCTGTCCTCACCCCATCAGAATCCTGCTGCTCTAGAAAGCACCAGCCTGCCTTGGGAGAGAGAGACAGCCGGTTTGGTTTCAGCCTGGCATGCGGCTAAGTGGTGGCTTGCTGCAAGATGGGGTTTCTCTGATTAGGATTTGGAGGGCCAGTGTGATCACATCTGCTTTTGTAGCCCCATGTAGCCCCTCACACACAGACACCCATCTTCCCTAGCTTGACTTTTCCAAGTGACCCGGTTGCCTCCTGCTGCATATGGGAGCCTCATCTCCTTCCAAGAGGGCATTTGGTTGTCTGCTCTATGTTGGTTACAGGGACTGGATTTAGGTTTTCAGGTTGGCAGTAAGCATCTCTACTTGTCAAGTCTTCTTAAGGCCTGACCTTGAATTTTTGATATTCTGTCTCTACCTCCTACATGTCACACACCTAGCTTATGTGGTGCTGGGGATCCAAACCCAGGGCTTTATGCATGCCATGCAGATACTCTTTTGACCTGTGTGGTTCCAAAATCTGCAAAATGGCACGAAGGTACAACTCTACTAGCTTCCATATGTTGGCCTGGGTGTCATGGTTACAGACTGATGGAACCTTCATTGCTTGGCAGCGATGACAGGTGATGGGCAGAGGCTGTGTTCCTTCCAGCTGGTCCCTGCCATCAGGGAACACAGAGGTATGCCAGGGGGCATTAACTTGTGGGGTTTGGGGGATACATGGTAGCTGGACTGTCCACGTTAGGTAAGAAGTCTCAGTGGTTCAAGGCAGACGTTCTGGTCTGCTAGAGTTCCTGGTACTTGGCCTGCCCAGTAGCTTTCACAGCATCCAGGCCAGTCAACCTGCACAGTGGGTAGACAGCTTGCCTAGCATGCACGAAACCCAGGGTTCCGTCCCCAGTGCCGCATACGCCAGCTACAGTGTGCCCATCTGTAATCCCAGTACTTGGGAGATGGAGGCAGGAGGATCATCTTCTGTTGTAGAGCAGTTACTAGATTTCTTCTTATTTCTTTCTTTATTTTGTATGCGGTGCTGAGGGTCAAACTTGGGGTCTCATGCATGTTTGGTAAGTACTCAAACCCTGAGCTATATCCCAGCCCTGTTTTTCATTTTTAGGTCTCACTATGTAACCCAGGCTAGCCTGGAACCCACAGTCCCCCTATCTGTGCCTCTAGAGGGTGGGTCCACATTGAGAATATAGGAGTGATTTGCCTTCACTTTCAGAAGCTCTGATGTGGAGCCTGGTATGTGAGGGGGTGTGATGTGAGTGCCCTCCTGTTCATGCCACCAGATGACAAAGAACGGGAATTGGCTTGACAGGGACTGGGTTGTGGCCGCCACCTCACCTCCCTTTCTCCCTCTCTTGCAGATGAGCAAGGTATGGAATGACCTGAAGCCGAAGCTGAGCTGCCTCTTTGCTGGACCTCACAGCGTGTTGACGCCACCGCGCTCCCCGCAGGAGGACGGCGTGTGTCCTCACTAGTGGCAAGGCCCACAACACGGCTCCCTGTGGCCTCACTAAAACCTCTTTGCAAACAGTGTGTCCCTGGCTGATTCCCTCCAGGCAGCAGCCACTGCTCTGAGCTGCCTGTGGGCTGTGCAGGTGGTCTTTGTGTCTCCCTGCTCCTGGGCAGGAGGTCTATGTGCCCCCAGCCTGCCCCATGGCCTGTTGATGGGGTCGGTGATGGGAAGTTAGGGTGCTTCAGAATGGATTGCGCCCAATGCCCACAGTGCTGAGGGCCTTTTGTAGCCAGCAAGTGGTGTCTAGGGGAGTGTAGAAGGGTCACTGAGTGCTGGGAGAGCCTAGGGGTTAGCCTAGCAGCAAAGAAGTGGGAGGGCTGCCCTGCCCTGTGGCCTGCCCTGTGGCCTGCCCTGTGGCCTGGCAAAGAGCTGGATGGTCTCTGAGGGTGGGACCTTGTCTGCAGACTAGGGCCTGTAGACATTCTGGGAGGTGTATTAGAGGCCAGGCGGGAAGTATGAGTGCGAAGTGGTTTGTTTGGTGCTTTGGAGGACATGTTTCACTCCAGTGCTGTCTATGGATCCCTGGTCCAAGGCTTCTCAAGGTCCACAGTGGATGAGGGCTCTGGGTCCTTTCTTGTGTTGGGTGTTGGAGGGTGAGAATGAGGAGGGGTTGTGGAGGAGCACTGGAGATGGGCATCCCTGTTGGGTGCCCAGGCCTCAGGGTCAAGAGTGTGGACCGCTTCCCACTAGCTGTCAAGCAGCAGGTTCCACCTAGATGTGAACTGCTTCCCTACCAGCCCACTCTCCCGCCCCGGCCCACTCTCCCGCCCCGGTCCATGCTTTTAGTGTTCTAGGGCCCAAGCCTGGCAGTAGAACCTGCCTTTTCTGTGGGTGCCTGACCCCAAACTTGAGGTTCCATCCCCAGGGTGCAAGGGAACCAAGAGTCCCTGTGGCATCCTGCTGCCCAAGCCTGTATGCCACACCACAGCCATGCTTTAGGCAGCCAGAAAGATGGGAAGCACAACTATCGACAGATCTCCCGCCTGCTCGTCCCTTCTCCTGGGCCGAGTGGGGGCCAGCCTCAGCTTTATCTGGACAGTCCAGGGCCAGCACAACAGGAGTGAAGGGAACAGCCTTTTTGGGTGCTTCCTACTCAGTGTTAGCCTGAAGAGGGTAGGCAGGGACAGCAGGGCTCTGGGACACTGCTGTGGGGACTCTGGGCTGAGGGAGTCAGGAGGCTGGTGCTGTGGGATTCGGCGGGATCGATGAAGCACTTTATGGACTGGGGGAATCAGTTACTGCCACACCCAATAAACTGGAAGTGTTTACAGATGGTTTCCATGCTGCTGTTTCTCTGACAGATCCCTATGAACACGGCCACATGGGTCTTGGAAACTGGAATCTTAAGTTTGGGGTGGGCAGTTGCCCCTAGTCTGGTGGTCCCAGTGGAGCAGTTTCCTAGATATAGAAGCATTGCTTCCTCCTGGAGGGAGGCTCCTTAGGCTCAGAAAATCTGTGAAATTTATGAGTTTCAGAAATCTGAAAAGCACATGGGTCACAAGGTCCCTCCCGGCAGTGGTGCCCACAGTGGCAATTGCTAATGGGAGTCGATGCTGACCCGTTGAGCCCCCTGCACAGTGTGGAACTCCAGGGCTGTGGCTCACACTCCTGTAAGTAACTGTTAAGCTCACTGGCTCCCTAGGTCAGGTTCTGCAGGGTTTCTGTTTGTTTGTTTGTTTTGTTTTTTGGTGCCAGATCAGTTGCTGTGATAAATTCCTAACAAAAGCAGCAAAGCTGCTCATACAGCCTGTCACTTTGGAGGAGTCGGGGATCATAGTGTGAAAGTTTGAGCCACGTGCGCACACTGCATCCAGAGTTAAGTAGAAAGTTGATCAAAGCATGCGTGCCAGTGCTCCGTCTGCTTTCCCCACCCTCATATGTTCAGGGCCCCCTTCCTAGGGAATCATGCCACTCATGGTGGGCAGATCTTCCTACTTGAGTTAACAAATCAAGATAATCCCCCAGACATGTCCAGTCTAACCTAGACAGTCCCTCGCTGAGATGCTCTTTCCCAGGTGATTCTAAATTACGTCAAGTTGACAGTTTAAACTGACATAAGGGATGGAGAGATGATGGCTCAGCAGGTAAGAGCACTTGCTGTTCTTCAGAGGACCCGAGTTCGATTCCCAGCACCCACATCAGGCTCACAATGTCCTGTAACTTCGGCTCCAGTGGAATCACCATCTCTGACTCCATGGTACCTGTACTCACATGAACAGCACTCCCACCCCATGCACTTATTTAAATGATGAATCCAAGAGAAGGCTGCAATTATGCCCTTCTCTCAGCACTTAACATCTGGACCCCTTTAGGTTTAGGGAGTTTCAGCTAACAATGTATTTGGCTTTTGAGTATGATACAGTGTGTACATTTTATTGTAAATTACATGTATATGTATGCGGGAATGTGCTCATGGGTGCTGGTGCCTACAGAAGCCAGAAGGTGTCAGCTCCTCTGAAGGTAGAGTTACAGGTGATTATGAGCTGCCCGTCGTGGGTGCTGGGAACTGAAATCTGATCTTCTGCAAGAGCAGTACTGCTGAACTTTGGGTCCAGCTTTCCTGTTGGATTTCCTTAAAAGGCTCCCTCTTTCTGAGGGAGAAATGGTTTTCTTTGAAGCAGGCAGGAATAGTTAGGATGTGGTGTGAAATGTCACAGCATGCTTTCAAGATCCACTGAAAACCAATGGCATCTGTGAGGTTCCTGGTCCAAGATGTAGCCCAGGAATTCCTGGCTGCTCCCCCATTAGGGGAGTGTCTGCTGCACTACAACTATTGTGACAACAGAGGAAATGCAGCCAGTGACCTGGTTGGGAACTCCCCCACCAGGCAGTTAGTCTCAGGTTTTGCAGGCTCTTCTCTGATTGGTTATCGTTATCTGGTTTGCCTACAACCTCAGCCTATCAGGCCTCACTTGGGTCTATATAAACCCCTGGATACAGCCTTTCTGTCAGTTCAGCCCCTGGCTGGAGTCCAGGTCCTGGTTTGCAGTCCAGCGTCTGGAGAGGAATACTTATCTTTCTCGGAGACACCGTTCCTCTGCCTCCTGAGACCCACGTCTCTAGCTTCTCTGTGGCACCCTGCTCTCCAGTTTTCCTCCCGATGCCTGCTCTTGCCTGGCATCCTGCCCACACCAAGCATTTCAAAGCTTTCCATTCAGATTGTTGCTCCTGCATTAAAAAAAAAAGTCCTCACCGCATCCTTTGGTGTCCGTCCACCCTGTCTGAGGTAGTGTGACAGGACAGACTCAGCTGTCTCAGTGCCTGGCGGGATCTCGGTTTCCTTCCTCTCCTGTACCACTCACTCTTCTTGATGCTGTCATCACATAGCAGCTTAGGGGAGCAAGCAAGTCTATTTTGACTCATGGGTCAATCGAGGGGATACAGTCCATCATGGCAGATAAGGCACAGTGGCAAGAGTATGAGGTGGCTGGTCACTTCAGGAAGCAGAGAGCAGACAGGAAGTGGGGTCTACTGGTTGTTGGATGTTTTTTTTACTCTTTGACTCTTTTGGGGGCCTGCCACCCAGCTCCCAAATAAATATACATGGAGACTTATGATTACTTATAAATGCCCAGCCTTAGCTTGGCTTATTTCTAGCCAGCTTTTCTTTTCTGCCTGCCAGCCCCACCTATCCTTTCTCCTGCCTTGCTATTGGCCGTTCAGCTCTTTATTAGACCATCAGGTGTTTTAGATAGGCATAGTAACACAGCTTCACAGAGTTAAACAAATGCAACATAAACAAATGCAACACATCTTTGCATCACTAAAACAAATGTTCCATAGCATAAACAAATGTAACACATCTTAATATTCTATACCTACCTATAAAACCTTAAGGCCCATCCCACATCTCTCTGGCCCCCAGTGACTCAGTTTCCCCATCGGTGCTCTGCCTCCTAAAGATGCCACAACCTTCCAAAACAAGACCAGTAGGTGGAGATGAAGTATTCAAGCATCTACCAGTGACATTTCACATCCAACCTCAACACCTTGCAAACAGAAAATACCAGTCCCTCTTTGTGGTGCCCTTGGACTGACCGCTGTGGCTGTGCAGCCACCTGAGTGTGGCCAGAACTGGCCAGACCCCTGTGTTAGAATTCATCCACCTCACGCAGTGAGTAGTTGAGGATGGTGTCGTGATCCTGGAACTTGAAGTACCCACAGAACTTCTTCTTCTGAAGCAGGAGTGGGAACCAGTAGCTGTCATCGGGCCACATGTCAGCAAAGGGGATCTGGTCCAGTTGGAACCACTGAGGGCGCATTTCTGTTGCAGGGTAGGGGGATGGGGAGGAGGAAGAGCATTGATACTGAACATGGCTTTCAGCCAACCCGAGAGGGATTACCCCCTGAATCTGTGTGAACACCTGTTTGGAGACTTTTGATTTGTTTGAGACACGGTCTCACTACGTAGTAGCCCTGGCTGGCCTTGAATGCAGGGATCTGCTGTGTATCTGAGTATGTCTGTGTGAATGAACGCCACATGTGTGGATGTCAGAGGAGGCCAGAGAGGAGCTGGAGTTATAACTAGTCATCGGCTGCCCACTGTGGGTGCTGGAGACTGAACTTGGGTCCTCTGGGAAGACCAGTAAGTGCTCTAAACTGTTGAGATCCCTCTCTAGCTGTTTGGACTGTTGTGGTTGTTACTTGTTTTATATTATTTTTGACTGCATATATGCATGTATATCTGTGTGTGGGTGTAAGCATATGCATGCAAGTGCCCATAGAGGCCACAGGCTTTGTATCCCCCTAAAGCTAGTGTTAGTTGTGAGCCACCTGGTGTGGATGCTGGGAACCAGATTTGGGTTCTCTGGAAGAGCAATATGTGATCTTAACTGCTGAACCAGCTATCCAGTCTCACTCTTCTTTAAACATTTTGTAAAATGATTTTATATGTATGGGTGTTTTGCCTGTATACCATGTGCATGAAGTGCCTGCAGAGGCCAGAAGAGGGGATGGGATCCCCTGGAACTGGAGTTACCGGTACTGGGAAAAGCAAGTGGTCCTCTGTGAGAGCAGCAAGTGCTCTTAACTTCTGGGCCATCTTTCCATCCCTTGGATTTTTTTTTTTAAACTAAGTGTCCATATTGTAGCTGAGGCTGGTCTGGAATAAGTAGCAATCCTCCTGCCTTAGCTTCCTGATTGGTTTACAGGGTGTAGTGCCACCATGACTGCTTTATTTTCATTAATACAGGCACTTTCTTTGGAGCTCTGGCTGGCTTGGAATTCAGTGTGGAGCCCAGGCTGGTCCTGAATTCATGGCAGGTTTGCCTCAACTTTCTTGGTGCTGCAATTATGAATGTGTGCCACTATACCTGGCTCATTAAGAAAGGAGCCTGGTCTAATTTTATATCTCATCCTCATGACCATCTCTTGGTTTTTTTTTTTTGGTTTTTCGAGACAGGGTTTCTCTGTGTAGCTTTGCGCCTCCCAGGCTGGCCTCGAACTCACAGAGATCCGCCTGCCTCTGCCTCCGGAGTGCTGGGATTAAAGGCGTGCGCCACCACCGCCCGGCCATCTCTTGGTTTTAACAGCCTCATGTAGCTCAGGCTGGTGTAGGATCCATTCTGTAGCCCAATATGTCCTCAGATTCAGTCTTTCTGCCTCGGCCTCCCAGACGCTGTGATTATGGACCTGCATCACCACACCTGGTTACTCTCTTGTTTGTTTACTAAGAGCTCATCTCTTGTGTTGGGATTACAGACATGCAACACCACACCTGGTTCACTGCTGAGGGTGGAGCTCAGGTCCTTAGGCTTGCTAGTCAGGCATCCTGCCAACTGAGCCACACTCCAGCTCTTTCATTATTACTATTTTTTCTTCTTCCTCCTCCCTCCTCTTCCTTCTTCTGAGACAGGGTCTCACAATGTGGATCATGCTGGCTTTGAACTCACAGAGATACCCCTGTCTCTTCCTCTTGTGTGTTGGGATAAAAAAGCATGTACTAATATGTGTGGCTGATTTCCATACTTTGTGAAATAAAGAAATGGGCTTACAACGTAGCGGTGGCACACGCCTGAGTTTGAGGCCGGCCTGGTCTACAGAGCCAGTTCCAGGGCAGCCAGGGATACACACAGAAACCCTGTCTCAAAAAGGGGAGCGGGGAGAATGGGGCTCATATCTGGGCTACAAAGCTGCTTTGCCTGATTGCCTTGGTTCTGAGGACAAGCAAAGAAGAAGAATGTGGGCAGGCTTGGGGCCCACACTTGGCAAGAGCTGATTCCTTTCTCCAAGGCTAGGTGCACCTCCCTGGCCATGGTGGGAAGAAGGGAGCAGGGCCCAAGGCTCACCGTCACTCTCTGTGGGTGTCCCATGTACGTGGTCAGTAGAAAAGATATGCACGTCCATCAGCTCAGGGGACCCCACAAACTCAAATGAGATGTGGCCCACCTTGTGCAGGGCATCCACGGTTAGACCACTCTCTTCCTCCAGCTCCCTGCAGCAGAGATGGGTAAGGGAGATGTGGCATTAGCTCGTGAGCATGGCACCCATGCTGACAAGGGCCAGGGCCGTGGGAGTGTAGCCTCAGGACCTGTGGGCCGCATGTTCTAGGAGGATATCATGCAGAGGCGTTGCTACATCCAATTTAGGAACTCAACATAAATTCAGGCATGGCATTGCACGCCTATTGTACCAGCATTGAGGAGGCTGAAGCAGGAACGTTTGGGGTTTGAGGCCAATCTGGACTACATAATTAAAGGCCAACTGGCATATGCAGAAAGACTCTTTAAAAAAAATTTTAAAGTTGGACATGGTGGTATATGCCTTTAATCCCAGCATTCTGGAGGTAAAGGCAGGTGGAGTTCAAAGCCTGCCTGGTCTACATAGCATCTGTGGGTCTCAGGGGTGTTTCTTCCTCTCCAGGTCTTCATCCCCTGCCAGGCTGGCTCTGTGGTCGGACCTCCCTTTTCCTCACCTCTTAGCCCCATCCTCAATGGTCTCTCCTTCCTGGACTTTGCCCCCGAAGCCATTCCAGCGGCCAGCACCAAAGCCCCTCTTCTTCATGCCCAGGAGAACTCGCTGAGGCTGCAGCACCAGCACCAGGGTGTAGAGCCTGGAGGTACTCATGGTCTCCTGGGTCCTGCGAAGAGGGTCAGAAAATGAGGTCTGTTTGGCTTGTGGTCTGTTAGAGTGTGCATCAAATGTGTGTGGTAGTGAATGGTGGCCAGGTGGGAGGGAGATTCATGTTAGAAGAAGTGGAAAGTGAGGCTGGCTGGTAATTCCCCAGCCACAATGTAAATTCCCTGTGGGTTCCAGGGCAGGTGATGGGTACAAATGTGCCTTTGAGCCCTCCTCTCCCCATTTTTTTTTCCAGTGCAGGGAATGGAACTCAAAACTTTGAGCATGCTAGGCTAGTGCTCTACTGCTGAGCAGTACCCCAGCCCCTCACTGGGGGATTCTAGGCAGGGGCTCTAACACTGAGCCACACCCCAGCCCCTCACTGGGGATTCTAGGCTGGTACTCTACACACTGAGCCATCTTTCCAGTCCCCTGGGCCAACTTTTTATTGCTCTATCGTTTTCTTGGTCTCAACTGGCTAAAGCAGTATCCACTGAGCTCTACCACTGGGACCCTCCTAAGAGGTTATAAGGGTGTATAAGGGACCTAAATGAGGGCTAGAGAAATGCCATTGGTTAAGAGCATTTGCTTCTCTTGCAGAGCACTGGGATTCCATTCTTTGTATCCACATGATGGCTCATAATATTCTAACTCCAGTTCTGATGGCCTCTTCTGGCACCAGGCACAAACATAGTGCACAGATATAAATGCAAGCAAAATGCCTATACTCATACAATATAAGTTAACTTAAAAAAAAAAAAAAGTGGCGGTGGTGGTGCATGCCTTTAATCCCAGCACTCTGGAGGTAGGAGGCAGAGGCAAGCGGATCTGTGAGATCAAGGCCAGCCTGGTCTATAGAATGAGTTTCAGGACAGCCAGGGATACACAGAGAAACTGTCTCAAAAACAAAACTTAAAAAGAAACGAAGAAAGAAAAGGATGCTTGGTCCTGGTGATGAGGGTGGTCAGCAGAAGAAGTGGGCTTAGCATTGGCCTGTGTCCTTGTCCCGACACTGACTTGCCCATGCCAGAGGTCCTGGCTTTCCAACTCTGCAAAGTCAGCCATCTTTCATAAGCAACAGCTATATATAGCTGTTTTTCCATATCCACAGGTGACTGGTACCAGGTTACTGCCCCCTTGCCATGGATACCAGAATCGAAGCATAGTGAAATCACTTCCAGGGAAATGGCATATTTGTATATATAACTTACACACATGCTCTAGCCCACTTTAAATGTGACACAAACACAGTATAAATAGTTTTCATGTAGTAAGGACAGATGTCCACATGTTCAGTCTATGAGTGATTTGTTTTGCAAGTATTTTAAATAAGACAGAGTCATGCCATGTAGTCCAGTCTGGACTTAAACTCACAATCTTCCTGCCGCAACAACCTGAGTGCCAAAGCGATTCCACTAAAGTCAGGAACAAGACAAGGCTGTCCACTCTCCCCATATTTATTCAATATAGTACTTGAAGTTCTAGCTAGAGCAATAAGACAACAAAAGGAGATCAAAGGGATACAAATTGGAAAGGAAGAAGTCAAACTTTCACTATTTGCAGATGATATGATAGTATACATAAGTGACCCCAAAAATTCTACCAGGGAACTCCTACAGCTGATAAACTCCTTCAGTAAAGTGACAGGATACAAGATCAACTCAAAAAAATCAGTAGCCCTCCTATACACAAATGATAAAAGGGCTGAGAAAGAAGTCAGAGAAGCATCACCCTTTACAATAGCCACAAATAATATAAAATACCTTGGGATAACACTAACTAAACAAGTGAAGGACCTTTTTGATAAGAACTTTAAATCTCTAAAGAAAGAAATCATATCAGAAAATGGAAGGATCTCCCATGCTCATGGATAGGTAGGATTAACATAGTAAAAATGGCAATCTTACCAAAAGCAATCTACAGATTCAATGCAATCCCCAGTCAAAATCCCAACACAATTCTTCACAGACTTGGAAAGAAAAATACTCAACTTCATATGGAAAAACAAAAGACCCAGGACAGCTAAAAGAATCCTGTATGATAAAGCAACCTCTGGAGGTATCACCATCCCTGACCTCAAACTCTACTATAGAGCTATAGTAATAAAAATAGCTTGGTACTGGTATAAAAACCGACATACGGACCAATGGAATCGAATTGAAGACCCTGACATTAATCCACGCACATATGAACACCTGATTTTTGACAAGCCAAAACTATACAATGGAAAAAAGAAAGTATCTTCAACAAATGGTGCTGGCATAACTGGATGTCAATATGTAAAAGATTACAAATAGATCCATATCTGTCACCATGCACAAAACTCAAGTCCAAGTGGATAAAAGAACTCAACATAAATCCAGTTACACTAAACTTAATAGAAGAGAAAATAGGAAGTACTCTTGAACACACTGGCACTGGAGATCACTTCCTAAATATAACACCAACAGCACAGACACTGAGCACAACAATTAATAAATGGGACCTCTTGAAACTGAGAAACTTTTGCAGGGCAAAAGACATGGTCAATAAGACAAAAAGACAGCCTACAAAATGGGAAAAGATCTTCACCAACCCCACATATGACAGAGGATTGATCTCCAAAGTATATAAAGAACTCAAGAAACTAGACATCAAAATACTGAACAATCCAATTAAAAAATGGGCTAAAGAACTAAACAAGGAATTCACAAAAGAAGAATCACAAATGGCTGAAAGACATTTAAGGAATTGCTCAACATCCTTAATCATCAGAGAAATGCAAATCAAAACGACTCTGAGATACCACCTTACACCTGTCAGAATGGCTATGATCAAAAACACTAATGGCAGTCAATGTTGGAGAGGATGTGGAGCAAAGGGAACACTCCTCAACTGTTGGTGGGAATGCAAACTTGTACAACCACTGTGGAAATCAGTATGGTGGTTTCTCAGAAAATTGGGAATCGAACTACCTCAAGACCCAGCCATACCACTCTTGGGCATATACCCAAGGAATGCTCAATCATACCACAAAGATACATGCTCAACTATGTTCATAGCAGCACTATTTGTAATAGCCAGAACCTGGAAACAACCTAGATGCCCGTCAACTGAAGAATGGATTAAGAAAATGTGGTACATACACACAATGGAGGACTACTCAGCAGAGAAAAACAATGACAGCATGAAATTTGCAGGCAAATGGATGGAGCTAGAAAATATCATCCTGAGTGAGGTAACCCAAACCCAGAAGGATAAACATGGTATGTACTCACTCATAAGTGGATTCTAGATATAAAGCAAAGAACAATCAGAGTGCAACCCACAGAATCATGGAGGATATATATATATATATATATATATAAACCCTAGGATGACTGTGGCTTTTAACAAGTTTTGGTTTTACTCAATTACTGAGCCTCAATGAAACATTTCACTATTAAGATAAGAATTTATACTGTATTAAGCTGATAATAGAAAAATAAATTAATTAATTAAAAAAAAAAACCCGAGTGCTGGAATGTACCAGCATGCCCAGCTACCTGTCTCAGTGAAGTTGCTGTGAGGATGTAGACTGGAATCCAGTAGAATGTGTTTGGCTATGGCTGTTGATTGACATTGTTTCAAACATAGACTCACACACTGTTTTCCCCTCTGCAAATGGAAATATCTTATCTCACAGTTTTGGGGTTTATTAAGTAGGATCGTTCTAACAGACAAGGTTAATTGGGGTTGGAGAATATTTTTGATTTGCTGGTTGAATTGGTTTAATACTGAGCCCACAGGTATAGATGGCTGATTAGCTTTGTGTGCATGATGTGTGGACATACGCATCTATGTGTCCCTGCCTGTGTGTGGAGGTCACAGTTGACAATGGGTGCCTTCCTCAATTGCTCTCCACCTTGTAATTTTTTTCATATTTAAAAAGATTTATGCATATGAGAATTTGTCTGCCTGTATGTCTGTGCACCATGTGCATTTAGTGCCCAATGTAGGTCAGAAGAGGGTATTGGCTCCCCTGGAACTGGAGTTACAAATGGTTGTGAGCCACCTTGTGGGTCTGGGAACTTTACTGTGGCACTCTGCAGGAGCAGCCAGTGCTCTTTCCAGCCCATACCTTATTTTCTTTTTTTTTTTTTGGTTTTTCAAGACAGGGTTTCTCTGTGTAGCTTTGCGCCTTTCCTGGAACTCGCTTTGGAGACCAGGCTGGCCTCGAACTCACAGAGATCTGCCTGCCTCTGCCTCCCGAGTGCTGGGATTAAAGGCGTGCGCCACCACCGCCCGGCTAGAATTTTTTTTTTTTTTTTGGTTTTTCGAGACAGGGTTTCTCTGTGTAGCTTTGTGCCTTTTCCTGGAACTCACTTGGTAGCCCAGGCTGGCCTCCATACCTTATCTTTAAAAAAGATTTTACTTTTATATGTGTGTGTGTCTTTGTATGCACAATTTTGTGTGGCTACCCATGGAGACCAGAAGAGGATGTTGGATCTTCTGAAGCTGCAGTTACAGGCAGTTGCAAGCATCTTACATGGGTGCTGGAAATCACACTCAGGACCTATGCAAGAGAGTGCTCTTAACCGGAGCCATCTCCCTAGCTCCATCCACTTTTTTTTTTTTTTTTTTTGAGACAGGGTCTGTCACTGGAACCTGTAGCTCATGGAGTCAGTAAGACTAGCTGATCAGACTGCTCCAAGGATCAAGCTGTCTCTGCCTCCCAGCACTGGGGTTATAGGTGCAAACCACATTAGCTATTTATGTGGGTTCTGGGGCTTGATAACTCCTCATGCATGTGAAGCAAGCATTTCACAGGCATCTATCACCTCAGCTCCAATTAGCCTTGTTTTCAAAAGCTGCTCCATTTAGTAAGCTGTGTAAGACTTACTTTCACATTTCCTGAGGAGAAAACTGATGCTCAGGGTCTAAATTTGCAACGGGCTCAAATGGCAGAGCCTATAAGGAAACTAGGGTGTCCTGGATGTCAGTCTAGTGCTCCCTTAGCTTAGGTAGCTGTAACATGGTAAACTGGATGCGTCTCAGGGAGCTTTGAAATGCTAGGGGCTGGGGTGCTGACAACCATCTGGTCTGAATTGAGGTCAAGGGTTGCAGGTGTTGGAGGCAATGCACATGGAGTGCAGAGCTCAGACCTGCCTGAAGTGGGCACTCTGCAAATGCTGTTCCCTAGCCTCCCCTTCCAGGGCCTATACCTGGTACAGCCTTTGCAACCTGGCTGCAAACTGCCCCTGCCCCAGCCTCAGGTTCCAGGTCCCCTTTCTCTTTCATTTCTGTTACTTACTGTACTTCCCCTGGTCTCCCCGACCTCTTCAGTTCTGCCTACCCAGCACCCCGGTCTTCCTGGCTGGCTTGAAGCAGCTCCCAGTCCTTCTGCCCTCTCCCCTCCCCAGATCCCCCCCGGCACCCCAGCACCCCCGATCTCCCGCGTCTCTCCCGCACTCGGCTCCCACGCACAGCGAACCATCCATACCTTCGCGCCCCAGCTACAGCTTCCCGGGGCGGGGCCTCAGGCTGGTAGCAAGGGCGGGACTTCCGGCGGCGGGAGGAAACCGACCCCAAGCACCCATGGCTTGGTGAGTGTAGTTATGTCGTCGGCCTGCACTAGAAGGGTTCTTGCTGCATGTGTGCGTGGAGTGGACGGCGGTAGTTGGGAGCGCAGTGTCTCGGGCCGCATAGGGGCTCTGGCAGCCTCTGTCCCGGGATACTGGACGCGTGTGCACGATGTTTATTCATGTACAGGCGTGAGTGAGTGAGTGGAAATAAGTGTGTGGGCTGGGGACATGGCTCAGCGGTTAAAGCTGTGCATGCATGAGGACTGGAGTTCAGATGCCCAGAACCCACAGAATGCTGGCCTTGTGTGCTAACCAAATACGACGCCAGTGCTAGGAAGGCAGAGACAGGGGCCCCTGGAGCAAGCAGGCTAGCTATAGTGGCTGGTTGGCGACCTTACCTCAATATGTAAGGTAGAGAGCAAGCTAGGAAGACATCCCATGTCAAGTTTGGGTTCCAGTACGCACGCAGACACACGTGCACACACATGCATACATACCGCACATACATATGCAAAAAAAAAATAGGTTGAACTAAGACCTCCTACCTGCCTCTTTGTAATTGTAATGTTCACTGGCTAACTCCTTTCTTGCCACCAGGTACCCGAAGCTGGTAGGCGTTCCCCTTAAGGTTCAGAGATTCCACACTGCTGCGTGTCGCTACAAAGGCCGGACGGGCGCTGAGCACCTGTGGCTGATGCGCCATCTAAAGGACCCGTTTGTGAAAGCCGCAAAAGCGGAGAGTTACCGCTGCCGCAGCGCCTTCAAGCTCCTGGAGTTGAATGAGAAGCATCACATCCTGCGGCCCGGCCTCCGGGTGCTAGACTGCGGGGCGGCTCCGGGAGCCTGGAGTCAGGTGGCAGTGCAGGGAGTCAACGCCACAGGCGCAGGTGAGGCCTGCATGTCACTACCAGGAATGACAGTAGCTCTTTACTCAGAGACGTTGTTTGAGCAGCTTTCTAAGTTGACTTGAGGTGATGGTTATAGAAATGGGACACAGGCTGGGGACCGAGCTCAGCTGCTAAGTTAAACAGGTGTGCTGGCACAGGCCTATGATCCTAACTTTTGGGAGTTGGAGGCAGGAGGATTAAAAAGTCAAGATCCTCCCTGCTACCTAGTGCATTTGCAGTCCAGCACAGGAGATCCCATCTCTCAGAAGAAAAGGACAAGGGTTGTGGGGAGGGGGAGATGGGATGGAGGTGATGCTGTGGAGGTGTCTTTTCAGCAGTGGTTCTCAACATGTGGGGCTCGACCCCTTTGGGGTTACATATCAGATATTTACATTACTCTTCATAACAGTAGCAAAATCACAGTTATGAGGTAGCAATGAGATAATTTTATAGTTGGGGGTCACCACAACATGAGGAACTGTGTTAAAGGGTCGCAGCTTAGTGGATAAAAGGTGCTGGCTGCTAAGCCGGATGGCGTGAGTTCTCTCCCCAAGACCTACATCGTGAAGAAGAGAATTGACATTCGAAAGTTGTTCTTTGGCCTCCACAAGTGTGCCACTGGCATGTGTCCCCTTGCATACAACCACACACACACACACACACACACACACACACACACACACACACACACAAAACTAAACAGTAACATCATCTGAGTTTGCTTAGGGGAGGGTTTCTTTCAGCTTACATGAAGGGAAGTCAGAGGCAGGAACCGAAGCAGAGATTATAGGGGCACTGCGTGCACTAGCTTGCTCCTCCAGGCTTGCTCAGCCTGTTTTCTTATGGACTCAGGACCACCGCCCTGGGGTGGCACTGCTCACAGTGGGCTGGGTCCCTCCCACGTCAATCAAGAGAAATGCCCTATAGGCCAGTGGGAGGCATTTTCTCAATTGAGGTTCTTCTTCCTAGGTGACTCTAGCTTGTGTCAGGCTAACTTAACCAGGACGAATAGGATATTGACCCTTTCAAAATGAAAGGGAAAGCCAGAAGTTATAATAAAAAGGAAAATGTATTTTTTTCCCCAGAGGGACATGTTGACAGGTGTGCTGGCTAGTTTTATGTCAACTTGACAGAAGCTAAAGTCATCTGAGAAGAGGGAACCTCAGTTGAGAGAATGCCCCCATAAGCTCAGACTCTGCAGCATTTTTTTTTCCCTGAGACAGGGTTTCTCTTTGTATTTTTGGTGGGTCTTGCTTTGTTGACAAGGATGGCCTTGAATTTACAGAGATCACCTGCCTCTGCCTCCAGAGTGTTGGGATTAAAGGTGTGCACCACCACCACCACCACCCAGCCCCTAGGGCATTTTCTTAAGTAGCGATCAATGGGGGAGGGTGCAGCCCATGGTGGGTGGGGCCATCCCTGGACTGGTGGTCCTGGGTGCTATACAAAAGCAGGTGAGCAAGCCGTGAGGAGCAAGTCAGTGAGCAGCACCTTCCACGGTCTCTGCATCAGCTCCTGCCTCCAGGGTCCTGCCCTGCTTGAGTTCCTGTTCTGGCTTCTTTCAGTGATAGACAGTGATGTGGAAGTTTAAGCCAAATAAACCCTTTCCTCCCCAACTTGGTTTTTGGTTATGGTGTTTCATCACATCAACATAAAACCTAAGACAAGCAGGATTTAGGGATCAGACAGTTAAGGTGTCCCTGTGGTTCCCAAATTGTCCTCTCAAAGCCTGAGAGTCTTGGAGGTCCCACTGGGGCTGCCACCTCCAGGACCTCAGGAAAGGCCTGCCTGGGGCTGTGGACCCCTCACCATTGGGCCGTGATAAGCTGTAGTGTGTTTATTTTATAGGGACCTAACAATATTCTCTATGTGAAGTGCTGCCCAAATAGGAAAAAAACAGTCACCTCTGTGACATTGTGTTGGCTGTGGTGGCCATACCTGTGACCCTCGTACTCTGGAGGCTGAGGCAGGAGAACCAGGAATTCCAGGCCTGAGTCACACGGTTCTCAAAGAACCAAAAACCTAAAAGGAAGGGCTGGAGAGAGCATTGCTCTTGCAGAGGACTCAAATTTGGTTCCCAGTTCACAACCTCCTCAACTCCAGTTCCAGGCCTTGGACTGTACGGGCACCTGCACTTGATTGTACATCCACACATGCAAACACACACATATAAATAAACAATACATCTAAAAACCCAAACAAAATGGCAGAGCCTGGTCCCACAGGCTTTTGATTCTAGTACTCTGGAGGCAGAGGCAGCAGTTCAGAGCTTAAGGCCAGCCTGGGCTACCTAGTGAGCTTCCCAATTTAGAACCAAAACAGACAAAAATAAAATAAAAAGATGCTTGGAAGCAGAATCCTAGAGAAGAGGAGCCTGGGGTACTGAACTGTCAGCAAAGTGGGCTTTGGTCCCTTGCCTGTGGTTCTACCTCTGCTTGACATCCAGGGTGGTCGGGACACCATTTCCTTACAAGTCTCAGCTTCCCCAGCTGTCCCAAGGGGAGTAGAGGACACCCTGTCCCACACAACGTGTCTTTAATTTTTTCAACTTTGAGAGATAGGATCTCACTCCATAGCCCAAATTGGCCTTGAACTTATGACTATCCTCCTGCCTCAGGCTCCCTAATGGGATTGTAGGCCTCTGCCATCACATCTGCCTCATGTGCAGGTCTCTTATGCATATACATGCATGTTAGCTGGTTTTCTTGGTCCTGGTGCCTTCCTTTATTTTGTGGCTTGTATTTTGGTGGGGAGATTCATGGTGTAATAATGCATTCTGTTGCTTTTATAGATGCCAGCTCTCCTGTGGGCTACGTGCTTGGGGTCGATCTTCTTCACATATTCCCTCTGGAAGGAGCAACTTTTCTATGCCCTGCTGATGTGACTGACCCCAGAACTTGCCAAAGAATTCTCGAACTGCTTCCCAGAAGGAGAGCGGATGTGATTCTGAGTGACATGGCACCCAACGCCACCGGGATCCGAGACCTCGATCACGACAGGCTCATCAGCTTGTGCCTTACCCTTGTGGACATGGCCGCGGACATCCTGCATCCCGGGGGGACGCTGCTGTGTAAAACCTGGGCTGGAAGTAAAAGCCACCTGCTACAGAAGAGACTGACCCTGGAATTCCAGAACACAAGGGTCGTGAAGCCGGAGGCCAGCAGGAAGGAGTCTTCAGAGGTGTACTTCTTAGCCACGCAGTACCGGGCAGGGAAGGGCTCCACGGAGCAGTGAGCCTGCCCTGCCCTGCCCTGCCCTTCTGGGCGTGCTTTCCTGAGAGCGGCTGCGATCTGAGCTGCATTGTGGATATGAACAGCATATCCCCAGGCACCTCCGGGTTTTAAAGAGATGGAAGATGTATTTGAGTGCTGTGGGATGGTCTGTATGGCAAATGTGTTGCTCTGATTGGTCAATAAATAAAACACTGATTGGCCAGTGGCCAGGCAGGAAGTATAGGCGGGACTAACAGAGAGGAGAATTGAGAGAACAGGAAGGTGGGAGGAGACACTGCCAGCCGCTGCCATGACAAGCAGCATGTGAAGATGCCAGTAAGCCACGAGCCATGTGGCAAGGTATAGATTTATAGAAATGGATTAATTTAAGATGTAAGAACTAGATAGCTAGAAGCCTGAGCCATTAGGCCAAACAGTTTAAATAATATAAGCGTCTGTATGTTTATTTTATAAGTGGGCTGTCGGAATGCCGGGGTTTGGCGGGACCCGGATAGAAAACTCTCCAGCTACATTCGAGGGTTGTGAAAAATGATAAAAACGGGGCCACCACGATGGCTCAGTGAGGAATGGGGCTTGCTGCTGAACCTGATGCCCTGAGTGCAATCTCCAGGACCCCTGTAGTGGAAGGCGAGAACCACCTCCTGAAAGCTGTCCTCTGACCCCCACGTGCACTCGCACACACGTGCACACAGTATGAGCAGATGTATCGGGATGACTGGTTCTTGTCAGTTTGACACAAACCTCGCTGTATCTGGGAAGAAAGAATCCAGCTGAGGAATTGCCTCCATCAGATTGGCCGGTGGGCGAGTCTGAGACATTTTCTTGATTAATGATTGGTGTGGGAGGGTCCAGCCCGGTGGGAGCTACCCTTGGGCAGGTAGTGTATGAGAAAGGAGGGTGAGCAAGCCGTGAGGAACAAGCCAGTAAGCAGCACTCCTCCATGGCCTCTGCTTCAGTTACTGCCTCCAGGTTTCCACCTTGAGAACCTGCTTTGACTTTCTTCAGTGATAGATGAAGATTGGGATGAGTGAGCCCAATAAACCCTTTCCTCCCAACGTCGCCTCCTAAGTGCTGGAAAGAAAACAGAAACAGTCTTGATTTTATCTTTCTGGCTTGTTTGTTTTTGAGATTGGGTTTCACTATGTAGCCCAGGCTGCCCTTGAGCTCACAATCCTCTCAAGTGCTGGGACGGACGAGAGTACACTGCCACACCTGGTTCATGTGTGAAGAGAAAGTTATGAGGAAGATAGATGGAGAGTGAAAGATATAAAAGGAGGGGGAAATAAGCCGGGCGGTGGTGGCGCACGCCTTTAATCCCGGCACTCGGGAGGCAGAGGCAGGAGGATCTCTGAATTTGAGACTAGCCTGGTCTACAGAGTGGGACAGTTCCAGGAGAGCCAGGGATACACAGAGAAACTCTGTCTCAAAAAACAACAAAACAACAACAACAAAAAAACAACCCCTGCCCCCCAAACTTGGAGGGGCTGGAGAGGTAGCTCTGAGGCTAAGAGCTATTCCTCCAGAGGACCCAGGTTCAATTCTCAGCACTTACATGACAGCTCACAACCATCAGTAACTCCAATCCCAGGGGATCTGATGCCCTCTTCTGGCTTCCATGGGCACTATACTAATGTTCACAGACATACAATCCAGCAAAACACCCACACACATAAATTAGAAACAAAAACAAACATCACGGACAGAACTACATCTTTATAAGACCCCGAGAGAGGATGTGACAGTTGTGTCCACACCACTGCCAGCTGTAAAAGCTTCTGCACTAACCACAGTGGCCTGTTGGGCAATCCAGGGAAGTGCTCCACACTGGCCTGGGTAAAAATGGCTGCCAGGGTTCACAAAGCCTTTTCATGGCCGAAAGTCTGGCCCGGGGTGTTTGAAACAGGACGTTGGAAGGCAGACTCACTGGCACCAAACAGCTGCAGTTGTCATGCAGCTTCCTCAGTGGGTCTGTGGGGGTGACGGAGGAGGGCTCCTAAACCAAAGCGCTGACGTGGCTTTCGCCTCAAAGGGGATAAGACACAGTTTATTCTGGAGCCCAATCTGAATGACTGTGGCTCAGGAAGACACATTTAGGTCACTCCAAATCCTACGTTCCAGCATCATAGTAGTTTTAAGTTTTTATAGCAACAGAAGAAAGTTCTAGGTCAAAGCACTTTTGTTTGTTTGTTTGTTTTTAATTTTATGTAAATTGGTGTTTGGCCTGCATGTATATATCTGTGTGAGGGTGTTGGGTCCCGGGACTGAAGTTATAGACAGTTGTGAGCTGCTATGTGGGTGCTGGGAATTGAACCTAGGTCCTCTAGAAGAGCAGTCAGTGCTCTTAACCGCTGAGCCATCTTTCCAGCCCCAGAGCACTTTTTTTTGTTTGTTTGTTTTGGTTTTTTTGAGACAGTGTTTCTATGTGTCACTCTGGCTGTCCTAAAACTCCCTCTGTAGACCAGGCTGGCCTTGAACTCAGAGATCCACCTGTCCCTGTCCCCTGAGTGCTGGGATTAAAGGCATGCACCACCACTCAGCAGTCAAGGCACCTTTTAAACACACTGGAAACATTAAGTAGACAGTTACAGCCAGGCAGAGAAATCTCAGCTGTATGCCTCAGATGTTATCTGATGACATTTAGCCTTTTAGTTGGTGGATTTTAAAGGCTGTTAAGTTAATGCAGCCCAAAGGTTTTATCTGTTACTCACAGGATGTTAGGTCAGGCACAGAGGTGGGCAAGGAATGGCTATTTACTGAGGCTGAACAGTCAGAGATAAGTTTTAATTAGGCCCCAGACCTGCCACCTCCCAACCTCCCGGCAAACACTGGAGCTCTAATCAGTCAATCGGCACTGCAGAAGGTTCAGTTGAAGATACAATTGCTTTTTGGAAACTTTCTTATAAAAAGATACACTGGCCCGACACTGGTGACAGAGCGAGATCCAGGACAGGCACCAAAACTACACAGAGAAGCCCTGTCTCTAAATAAATAAATAAATAAATAAATAAATAAATAAATAAATAAATAAAACACTGTTAAGCCTGGTATGGTGGTGCATGCCTTTAATCCCAGCACTCAGCAAAGTTCCGGGATAGTCAGGGCTAAAGAGAAACCCCCATCCTGAAAAATAAAAAAAGCAAACCAGGAAAAGACACACTGCACTGGTGTCAGGGACGCACTGTTTATACTGTTGTCTAGAAGGTTCCATCATCAAGGATGGGAAAAATGTTGTCATCAGTTAGGGTTGATCTGCCTTGCCCTCCGTGCTGCTCAGGGACGAGCCCCATTTCTCTTCTGGCATGCAGCGCCTTGGGGTAGCTCAGTTTGGATTTCCGGACACAGGAAAAAGCACAAGACTATAGTAGTTCAAGACAACACTGTAGAGTGGGCTGTGCGTGTTATCACACACCTGTAATACAAGTGATGTGGGAGGCCAAGGCAGAAGGACCAAGAGTTCAAGGCCAGGCTGGGTAACTTAACAAGACCCTGTGGAATTAAAAAAAAGTGCTGGGAATGTACCTTAGTGGTAGAGTTCTAGCCTAGCAAACAAAAACGAAACAAAAACCCCAGGCTAGGCATAGTGGCCATTAATTCCAGCTCTAGTGAGGCAGAGGCAGGAGGATCTCTGTGAATTTGAGGCCAGTCTGGTCTACAGAGGGTGTTCCAGGACAGTCAGGGTGAGACCATCTTGAAAAAAAGCAAAACCAACCAAACAACAACAAAACCCAAATCCCACCCAAACGAACAGAACACCTGTAGTCAGACTTTTCCTGTTCCTCCTGCCAGCTCCCAAATAACCACTCAGAGTTTATATTAATTACAAAAGCTCAGTCAATAGCTTAGGCTTGTTTCTAACTATCTCTCTTTTTTTTGGTTTTTCGAGACAGGGTTTCTCTGTGTAGCTTTGCGCCTTTCCTGGGACTCACTTGGTAGCCCAGGCTGGCCTCGAACTCACAGAGATCTACCTGGCTCTGCCTCCCGAGTGCTGGGATTAAAGGCGTGCACCACCACCGCCCGGCTCTAACTATCTCTTACAACTTAAATTTTTATTTTTATTTAAATTTTTATTAATTTACTTTCTGCCTTGTGGCTTTATTACTTTTATTCTATACTGCTCATGCTGCCTTCTCTCACTCAGTCTGGCTGGTGACTCTCTGAATCTCTGCCCTTCTTCTTCCCAGCATCCTGTCTGCCCCGAAAATCCTGCCTAGCTATTGGCCATTCAGCTTTTTATTAAACCAACCCGAGTGACAAATCTTTACAGGGTACAAAAAGATTATTCCACAACAAACACCAGCTGGGCATGGTGGCATGCGTTTGTCATCCCAGTGTTAAGAGATTCATTGTCACAGGCTATGTCCCAACAAGCCAGGTTTGGCCAACCCTCCAACTGGTTGGTTGGTTGGTTGGTTGGTTTTTAAAGAAATACATAAGCCGGGCGGTGGTGGCGCACGCCTTTAATCCCAGCACTCGGGAGGCAGAGGCCGGCGGATCTCTGTGAGTTCGAGGCCAGCCTGGGCTACCAAGTGAGTTCCAGGAAAAGGCACAAAGCTACACAGAGAAACCCTGTCTCGGAAAAAAAAAAAAAAAGAAAGAAATACATAGCCGGGCGGTGGTGGCACAGGCCTTTAATCCCACCACTTGGGAGGCAGAGGCAGGCGGATCTCGTGAGTTCGAGGCCAACCTGGTCTACAGAGCGAGATCCAGGACAGGCACCAAAACTGCACAGAGAAACCCTGTCTTGAAAAACAACAACAAAAGCTGAATCCATAGCAAATCAGAAAAAGGAGATTTACTCAATGTGGCCACAATGGGAAGAAGGACACAGAGCTTCAGGCTATCCCCAAGTCCCAACTCCAGGGGCCTGACACTGACATAGACAGGGTTAGGGTTTCAATAGAAGGCAAGAGATCGGCATAAGGAAGCTGTCTGGCTTGGATGTGGTCAGTTCCATCATTGTCCCAGCTCTGCGTCTTTCCTCACCTTCAGCTGACAAACTATAAATCATTTTTGTGGAGATAAGTTCTTCCTGTGGCTGCCCCAAGGGCTTCAGCCTTTTCTTCTTTTGGGAGGATATCCTTAGGAGAAGTCTAATATCTTGGGGTCCTTTGTTTCAAGGATCTGATAACCAAAGAGGCAGGCCAGTTTCACCAGCACTCAGGAGGCTGATGGATTGCTGTGAGTTCCAGGCCAACCTGGG